GGCTGGGGTTGTAGCTTAGTGGTAGAGAGTTTGACTAGGATGGGTGAGGCCCTGGGTTCGATCCTTAGCACCACATAAAAATAAACAACAACAATTAAATAAAATAAAGGTTAAATTCTTTAAAAAAAGAAAGTCTTAATTTTCCCACTGTGATAGATTTGGCAATTTCTCTTGTATCCTCTCATTTTGCCATATATTCTGTTTTTTTCTATGTATTTCACCCTCATTTTTAAAACCTGGAACATATACATTCAGAACTAAGAACTATGCCGTTCGTCATTTTGCAGTGGCTGTCTTAATCCCTAATGAATGTCCTTGCCAGGCCTGGTGCACATTCCTGAAGTCACAGTGTCTCAGGAGGCTGAGGCAGGAAGATTCCAAATTTGAGGCCAGCCTTAGCAACTTAGCAAGACCTTGCATCCAACTTAAAAACAAAAAGGGCTGGGGATCTAGCTCAGCGGTAAGGTGGCCCCAGACTCAATCCCAATAAAAAAAAAAAAAGAAAGAAAAAGAAAAAGAAAAGAAAATGTCACTTGCCAATAAGGCAAACTGTTTTTTGGGGGGGCAGGGGTGGTTCCTGGGGCTCGAATCCAAGGCCTCATGCATGCTAAGCAAGTGCACTACTGTTGAGCTACATCCCCAGCCCTGATTTTTCTGTAGGTATGCTTTTTTTTTTTTTTTTTTTTTTTAATATTTATTTTTTAGTTTTCGGCGGACACAACATCTTTGTTTGTATGTGGTGCTGAGGATCGAACCCGGGCCGCACGCATGCCAGGCGAGCACGCTACCGCTTGAGCCACATCCCCAGCCCTGTAGGTATGCTTTTTGTTAGTTTTTCTCTGTACAGAATTTTCCAGCTTTTTACTTTTGGTGCCATTTGTTTATTTTTGTGGTTCTGGGAATCAAACCCAGGGCCACATTCAATCAAACCCCTGAGCCACATTCCCAGCCCTTTCTGCTATATTTTTAATGGTCTTTACTATCCTTATAGCTTTTCTGCCTTGGAGTCATACTTTCGGTCTATATCTTTCAGTGATCCTTAAGTGGGAAACACACACTCGACTAAGCCAGACAATAATCAACATCTTTATCCTTTCTCAAACAAATCAGGCTCCCTAAAACACTTTACTCTATTCCTCTTTCCAGTCTAGTGTTGGTCCCATATACTTGGGATTTTTAAAAATATTTTTTTAATTGTAGCTGGACACAATATCATTATTTCACTTATTTATTTTTTTATGGTGCTGAGGATCGAACCAGGGTCTCGCAGGAGCTAGGCGAGTATAAAAACATATACCTTGTTTTTCGTACCCCACAAAGTAATCATTTCTATTCACAATCCATATTGTTTAGATTTACCTACATGTTTACCATTTTATTTGCTCATTTTCCATCTAATGTCTTCCTTTTAGGCCTACATGTCCTTGTTATTTAAGTCTGTTCTTTTTGGGGGGCAGGTAATAGATATTGAACCCATTGATGCCCTCCATATCTATCTATCTATCTATATATCTATATCTATAGATATATATATATATATAATTTTGTTTTTGAGTCACAGACTCTCTAAGCTGCCAAGGCTAGTCTGGTACTTGCCATTCTCCTGCCTCAGCCTCCCGAGTCACTGAGATTATAATCACTGAGATGCACCACTGCATCAAGCTGAAGTAAATTCCAGTTTATTTTAGGTACTGGGAATTGAACCCAGGGGTGCTTTACCACTGAGCCACATCCCCAGCCTTTTTTATTTTTTATTGTGAGACAGGGTCTTGTTAAGTTGCTTAGGTCCTCACTAAATTTCTGAGGCTGGCCTTGAACTTGCCACCCTCCTACCTCAACTTCCTAATCGCTGGGATTACTAGTGTGCACCGCAGCATCCGGCTGAAATAAATTCTTTTTTTTTTTTTTTTAAAGAGAGAGTGAGAGAGGGAGAGAGAATTTTAATATTTATTTTTTAGTTTTTGGCGGACACAACATCTTTGTTTGTATGTGGTGCTGAGAATCGAACCCGGGCCGCACACATGCCAGGCGAGCGCGCTACCGCTTGAGCCACATCCCCAGCCCCTGAAATAAATTCTTAAAAAAATATTTCAGTAATGTTCTTTTGTAATTTTTTTTCTCCCTAACACTTAAGATCATGGATTAACAATTGGTGCCAGTATTTTCCTATAATGATTTGAAGATACTATCATATTTTATTCTGGCTTCTGTATTTGCTGCTGAGAAGTCTGTTGTTTGTTGGTGCAATTTTTTAGTTAATCCACCCTGTTTGGGAAGATTTCTTGCGGGGCGCATGCGCATGCTTGTAATCCCAGCCACTCCAGACAACTGTGGCATGAGGGTTGCAAATTCGAGGCCGGCCTTGGCAATTTAGCAAGACCCTGTCTCAAAAAAGGGCTTGTGTTGTAGCTCAATGGTAGAGCACCACTGGGTCCAACCCCCCCCCCCCCCCCCCGTGCCAGGGCAGGGTGCGGGGACCCTTAGTTTTTGGAGTTCTGCAGATTCACTGCAAAATGTGCAGGTGTTTTTTATTTATCCTGCGCTAGGTTTTTTTGTGAAGATCTGAGTGTTTAATCAAGTTTTCGAAATCCTTTAAGGACTGCCTTTCCACAGTCTATCCTTTCCTTCTGGAACCCCGACGGGACCTCCTTTTTAATCCTGCCACTTCTCTTGCTTATTCTCCATCACCTTTCCTCTCTGGAGAAGTGGATCTGGCCTCCAGTTCAGTGATTCTTCTCTTCTGCCGTGTTGGATCCACTTTCTTACTTCACTCCTTGAGATGTGGATTTCTATGGCTCTATTCTAGAATTCTTTTAAAGCCTGGTGTTCTTTTCTGGAGTCCTGCTCTTTCTGCAGGTCTACTGCCCCTTTTCGTTCCCTATTGCTAAGCTTGGTGAAGGTGAAGGGTAGCTGGTGAAGGTGAAGGCTGCTGAGGCCCACTCCAGGATCTCAGAGGCCCAGAAAAGAATTCGGTGGGAGGCAGAAAGCAGCTCCTCGCGCGCTCCGCTGCGGGGCTCACTTCAGTTTGGGCCAGGGTAGCTGCTCGCGCCGGCCGTGACGTCACGGGACTGTGACGCGCCCTGGAGATCCGCCCCTTCGCGTCCCGCGCCGAGAATCCAGGCTCTCTGCGCCGTGACGTCACGGATCCGGGCGGGCGGGTTTTGCGTCGGCCCAATGGGAGCTGCGCGCCGGCCTCCCCTTTAAGGAATGTTGTGACCTGACGTCACCCGGGCGAGTTACCTCCCGCAGCCGCCGCCGCCGGGCTCAGCGCGAGCCCCGGAGCCCTTGAGCGCGAGCCCCGGAGCCCCCGGAGCCCCGAACCGCAGCCACATCCCTAAGCAGAGCGCCCCGGATCTCCAGCTGCGCGCCCCGCCGGGCCCGCGCGATGCCCTCGGACCGGCCTTTCAAGCAGCGGCGGAGCTTCGGTGAGGCCCTGTGGGCGACCTGTGAGGGGGGAAGGCGGCCGGCCCAACCGACCCCGACTGCCGCAGGTGACGTCAGCCCCGTGACGTCAGGCTCTGGCTAGACCCCGGGTTGGGAGGTCACTCTGCCGGGCGGGAGTGCCTCTCTACCCCGCGAGTCCCTTGCCACGGGGCTGCGGGGCCGACGGCCCCGGGGGAGGGTGCTGGGGCGGGCCCGGAGCCGCCCCTTGGGGACCGACGGGGCGGAGCCGCGAGGAGGGCCTAGGCCCGTCCGGCCTCACGCTGACCGCCGTCCGCAGCCGACCGCTGTAAGGAGGTGCAGCAGATCCGCGACCAGCACCCCAGCAAGATCCCGGTGAGTCCCGCGCCCCCGGCCCCGCCCCGCCCAAGCCCCGCCCCGGGCTCACGCGTCCCCGCCCGCCCCACCCCCAGGTGATCATTGAGCGCTACAAGGGAGAGAAGCAGCTGCCTGTCCTGGACAAGACCAAGTTCCTGGTCCCAGACCATGTCAACATGAGCGAGTTGGTCAAGATCATCCGGTGTGTGGGCAGCGGCCAGAAGGGCACTTGCTTGGGGGCTCGGGGCTGGGCAGACCAGGGATATAAGTGGGGTCAGGGTCTCGGGCAGGGAGCTGGGCCCCTGCGCTGGAAAACTGGGAACGGTCAAGGTCGGCGCTAGGTGAAAGCCAGTAGGAGGGCCTGAATGGGTGGGAAGCTGGGGACTTGGATCATTGGAAAGAAAGGGTTTGGCCATCACAGGCATGCCCTCCTGCTCCCTCAGGCGCCGCCTGCAGCTGAACCCCACGCAGGCCTTCTTCCTGCTGGTGAACCAGCACAGCATGGTGAGCGTGTCCACACCCATCGCGGACATCTACGAGCAGGAGAAGGATGAGGATGGATTCCTCTACATGGTCTACGCCTCCCAGGAAACCTTCGGCTTCTGAGCCAGCAGTAGGGGGGAATGGCCTGGGAGTGGGGGGCCCGGGTCAGGCTCTGCCCAGGGAGCTCCTGACTCCTGAACTGAGCTGCCTCTGCCCCTGGGGGGCTGGGCAGGGGTGTGGCCCCTAGTTAGGGGGCACCAACCAGCTCTGCCCTGGGTAGGCTCAGGGCCAGTCATGTTAGGGTTGACCCCCTGGGTGCTGGCTGGGTTGGGGGAGGGTGGGGAGTGGCCCCCAGCACCCCTGCTGTGTGGTTTGTCTTTTTTTTTTAGGCCCCTGCCAGTCTGCCCACCTGCCCCTCACCCACTTGTGGCTCTGCCCCCCTGCCTGGACCTGTCCACCCCTGAAAGACTGGCCCTTGGCTCCCCCCATCTCCTCATGGTGTATGGATCTGTGGTCATTGTCCCTCTGCAGAATAAAGATTGCTCAGGCCTGCCTGGCCCTTTGCCTCCAGCTGTTTGCTTGGGATTAGGGAGGGCTGCTGGGTGGCACACCAATCAGCCCCCAGGCACACTTGTGCTCTGTGGACTTCCTGTTTCTTTTAGAAGCCCACACCTGTATGTAGTGCTCCGCAGCAATATTAGAGGCCAACTCTCCCATCTCCTCACCTAAGTGTGATATGGATGTGGTCCCAGGGTAAATATCTTTATAACAAAACATTTTATTTATTAAGTAGCCACAACCTATCAAGCACTGCTCACCTTTTTCCCCCTTCCTGCCTGGGAGGGGACTCCTTGGTGTGCAGGGCCACAAAGTAGGGGTCCAAGTGGGGATACTTCCAGCTGTTCCCCACAGGCCTTGCTGCCAGCCATGGGCCCTCTTTGATGCCAGTGATTTGGGTCCCTGGACTCGAACCTCTTTTGCTAGAGGACTTGCCTGCTGGCACCTCTGGATATGGAGCCTGGCCCAGCTTCTGGCCCTTTCTTGTTGAAGTCTCTGTGCAGCACTGTGCCCCACCAGGCCTACTTGAGCACAAGCATGGCCTCTGTGCCGTCCTTGGCCGTCAAGTAGAGACCGTGTGTGAGGTAGTACTCCCGCCGCAGGAAGGCATAGAAGTAATCAGAAATGAGCAGGATCTGGGAGGAGAAAGAGGGTGTGACAAGCTGTGGGACATCTCCCTGAATCAGGGCTCCTGTGGGGTTGAACAGCTGTTGAGAGACATGGGAGCACCTGCCTGGCATTTCCTGTCAAAATCCCAGCCTGTCCCTGGACCAAGAACCAAGGCCCTGCCTAGGGAAGCCACACTTGACCTGAAAGATCTTTCTGGGCCCCTCAGCAATTGTGTATACTCTGCTACCTGCTCCCCTTCCAGTTCATCCCTCTATCCCAAAATTTGGCCTCTAGATTCCAGACCAGTATATATGAAACCAGTGGCCCCCTCTTGGTGCCCACAGGTACATTCACCCCACCAGGTCCCCATCACACTCCTCACATTCCCTGGGCAAACCTGCTCCTCCTACTGGGTACCTGTGTCTCCATCCCCCAATCCAGGAGTTCAGGCCACAAATTCACTTGGCACTTCTCCCATACGCCAAGACACCAAGGCCTGACAGTTCTACCTCCTGCACCTTAGATCCACCATTCTTATCCATCCTCACAGCCACTACCCTGGACAAGGCATCTGTCAGTCATCTCCTAGACATCAACAAAGCCTTGTCCCTGGATTCCCTGCTGCCTAACCTGTCTTCGTACTGTGCTCCCTGGCAGCCAGAGGGAACTTTGGAAAACACAAATCTGATCATGTTACTGCCCAGCTTAAATTCCTCTAAAGGCTGCCCAGGCTTTTAAGTGAAGATCAGCCTCTGGGGCTCTGAGGTCTTATAGCCGGTCCCTTCCTGCACACATGCATCACCCTCTCCCTGTACCACCTCACTCCGCTGCAGGATCTTTGCTGTTTAGAGGAAAGTGTTTCTCTCGCTTTCATCTAGTCAACAGCTATTTGCCCTTCAGGCCTCAGGAAGGGTCACTTACCCTTCAGATTAGGGCCTGGCCCCATTAACCTCTTATTTGCTAGCACAAATCACTCAAATTGCAATTTACATTCAGCTGTTTGACTAGCTCCATCAGGACAAGGCCCCGAGTGGTTGTGCTACTAAAATCTCTGTGCCCAGCTCAGTTTCCATATTGGGCCACAGAATCAAAAGCAGTACAGCAGCTTAGCCCACTGTGGCCCTCAACAAGGCCCAGAGAAGAACAAAGATTTACCAAGCTCCCTGCACACTAGACCGTGAAGTCTTCTAATTCCATTCAGCCCAAGCTGCCCAGGACCTTGGTACCCCTGGAGTTTTGAAGGATGAGGGAATAAGGGCTCACTGCTGTGGACACTGTGGTTCTCAGGTACTTAGAGGCCTTTCAGAAAGTCAATATCAATTGCTTCTTGGCACAGACAGACAGACTGAGGTCTGGAACAAGGAAGGCATTTGGCCAGGATCCTGAGGCAAGTCATAGTTTGAGCTGAGCCTGGTATCTAGGCCTCAAGACCTGAGAACACTGTCCTGGGCAGCTTCGCATTTACCTGAAGATAACTCGGGAACAGCTAAGGAGAGCTGGGAGAGGCTGATAGCACTGAGTCTCTGGACTGTACTACTATCCCATCACCTCAGGAACTCCCTGGAAAGATTTAAAATCCCCATTAATGGGGAAATTGAAACTCTGGGGGGTTCAAACAGTTGGCCTAAGGGTACACCTGGAGAGCTGAACTAGTGTCCATGTGCCTGGGCCCAGTCTACCAAACGGATCAGCCGAGCAGACATGCCAGGCAGTGAGGACTTGCCCACAGCTACCCAGCTCAGTGATAGCAGCAATGACTACAGCAAAGGCCAACATCATACTTTGGGGTCTCCTTTCTCACCCAGGCCCCAAGATGCCCTGCCTGGGAAAGGGGAGCCTGATCTCTAAGCCAGCTAGATAAGAGGCAGATGCAAATAATTCACAACCAACCAACAACAACAACAACAAAAAACCCTCAAGTGTCACAAAATTAACTGGCTAAGGCAAAGTATGGTCAAACCATTAGGTAATTAGGCTGACACATGAAACAGCTATTTTTGCAGATTAAAAATGTTTGAATATTGGCAATTTCATATCCTATAATGTAACATAAAATTGGAGGACAAAAAATACAAATAGTAGAGTAAGCATTACTATTCAAAAGTACTAGAACAAGTTAAAGACCTTACCAAGCTACTTCTTCCTTATGACCTTAACTTTATAAACTATGTACATGTATTTCCTTGATTAAAAAAAAAAAAAAATCAGCCAGTTGGCACAGTGGTACAAGCCTGTAATCCCAGTGGCTTGGGAGGCTGAAGTAGGAGGATTGTGAGTTCCAAGCCAACCTCAGCAGAAGTGAGACACCAAGTAACTCAAGGAGGCCCTGTCTCTAAATAAAAAACAAAATAGGGCTGGGGATGTGACTCAGTGGTTGTGTGCCCCTGAGTTCAATCCCTGGTACCAAAAAAAAAAAAAAAAAAAAAAAATCGAAAAAAATAATCAGCCAATAAATGATTGAAACAACAGTTAGGGGAAAAGAAACAAGTATTCCCTTAAGAAAAATGCCAAACAATATATACAAAATAGCCCTCTAAGGGGTACAGCTTAGTTCTTGCCCACTCCCCTGCCCCCAGGGTGGGCTAGACTTAGGGACTCTTTCCTGCTTGGGAGCAAAGAAAGGGAAAAGGGTCATTCTTCAGTGGAGAAACCTGGCAAACACCACCTTAACCAAGTGCTGAAGGTTGACATCAGCTTGAGGTCACAGGGCTACCCTGTACCCCACGGGATGCAAGGATGCCTTGCCCATTCTTTCCAAAAATCCAAACCCCGGTCTAATTAACCTCAGACGAACCTAACCTGAGGGAACATTCCACGAGATACCTGGCCGTGCTCCTCAAGACTATCAAGGTCATGAAAAATAAGGAACTCCTCATAAGGAACAAGTGAGGAACAGAGCAGAGGAGGACCCCAGAGAGAAATGGCCTCAAGTGCAGTGTACCTCCCTGGCTTGCATCCTTGGATTAGAAGCAGACAAAAGTGGAAAAGTCCCAATCAATCCTGGTAATATCCCAGGATAGGTTTTTTTTTTTTTTTTCCCCTGGAGATTAAACTCAGGTGCACTCTACTGATGAGCCATATCTCAGGCCCTTTTTATTTTTAAATTTGAGTCAGAATCTCTTTGCTTAGGGCCTCACTAAGTTGCTCAGGCTGGCTTTGAATTGCCATCCTCCTGCCCAGCCTCCTGAGTCCCTGGGAATAGAAGCATGCACCACCATGCCCACTCTAGAGTAAGTTCTTATTTTGACAAACATACCATGTCATTTAAGATGTTTTGTTTGTTTGTTTGTTTGTTTTAAAGATAGAGTGAGAGAGGGAGGGAGGGGGGGAGAGAGAGAGAGAGAGAGAGAGAATTTTTAATATTTATTTTTTAGTTTTCGGCGGACACAACATCTTTGTTTGTATGTGGTGCTGAGGATCGAACCCGGGCCGCACGCATGCCAGGCGAGCGCGCTACCCTTGAGCCACATCCCCAGCCCCTCATTTAAGATGTTAACAACAGAGGAAAGTAGCATGATGCATGGCTGACCTCTCTGTACTTTTTGCAACTTTCCTATGACTCTAAAATGATTCTAAAATAAAAAAAGTTTATCTAAAGACACAATAAACTATTGTTACATTTAACAACGTAGATGAACCTTAAAAATATCCTGGTAAGTGAAAGGCAGCTTTGGCAAATGCACATATAATATTTGCATTTTTTACTGTATGTCAATTCTTCATAAGCAAAATGTAAATTATAAATACTGAACTCTAGTTAATGATATACATGCTGACATTCAGTAGCAAATATACTGATGTCTGAACTCCAATTTGAAATAAAGTTAAAAATTAAGATGGGTTCAAAGCCAGCTTCAGCAATGGCAAGGCTCTAAGCAACTCAGTGAGACCCTGTCTCTAATAAAATACAAAATAGGGGCTGGGGATGAGGCTCAGTGGCCAAGTGCCCCTGAGTTCAAATCCCTGGTACCCACTCCCCAAAAAATAAGATGGGTTGAGGGTTGAATATTGTGACTGAGCAAGAATATCAGCATGTTATCGGTGGAGCCCTTGGGCACAGAATGACCCTTTTCCCTTTCCTTGCTCCCAAGCAAGAAAGAGTCCCTAAGTCTAGCCCACCCTGGGGGACAGGGGAGTGGGCAAGAACTAAGCTGCACCCCTTAGAGGGCTATTCTGCGTATACTGTTTGGCATTTTTTTGAAGGGAATACTTATTTCCTGGTAATGTCCCAGGATGGGCTGTCCTCAGTGTCATCAGTCCTAGGTGGGTGCCCTGCATCCAGGGAGAGGATGCCAGGCTGGCCTGGAGTTTGGCTCTTTTGAGGGGAAACCTGGGGCTGCTGGCAGGCTGGCTAAGACAACCTCTTTTGACTGTGAGGAAATGGGATTTCCCAGAGACCCTGCAAATCAGCCTACATTGCAACTGCAGATCCACAGCCGCTTTGCCCATTCTGAGCATAGCCAAGGTGGGTAAGGGGCAGCAGAAACAGCATGGGTCCGTAAGTGGCTATATGACTCCAGTGAGTCACTTCCTTTTCCTAAACTTCATTTCCCTCATCTGTGAAACATGAGCATTGTGTGTTTACTGCACACAATGGTGGGCTATCTGTCCCTCCGTGCTTTCAGATGCCTGAAGTCTGTTCCTGGAAGCTACCCCACCTGTAGTGGCTGAGGGCCCTGCCTCTTCCTCCCATCAGTCCCCAGGACCACACACACTTCCTAAGCAGCTCCAGTTTCCCACCACAGCCACCTCTGCAGGGAGGCCTCATCTCCCCAGACCCAGAGGGATTCTCTCTCTCTCACACACACGCATGCATACACATGCACACACACACACACACACACACACAAGCTCTGCATTGGCCAGCTCAGTGGCAGTTGCTGCCCTCTGAACCATGCCTACCTACCCCATAAGCCCTGATGCTCCTGCTTGTCCCCAAGAGGCATCACCAGAAGACTTCCCTAACTCCATGCTTTGTTATGTGACCAAATGGGATGGCATCTGCTCCACCTCTGGGGCCCCAGAA